CTGAAAGACCTCCCTTATTAGTGAAAGAATTCACACAAACAACAATTTTCCAGATTGCCGTCGGCGACTGTATTCTAAAGATTGTTTCAAGAAGTGTGAAGGTCGCACCAAAGGATGCGCTCCAGTCCCAGATACCTAGGGAATATTGCATAAAATCTTAAGAAGTTTTTGTTCACGTGAGCCTATTTCCTCTTGAAATTGTTACTTTTTTTTTATTTCGGACAGGTTTTTCCATTATTCAACTAATTGTTTTTGGGAATTCTGTAGGCGATAATTCTGTGCTGTCACTTCTCTAATTTCCATCACGTATTCAACATGTCAAAAACATGTTACGGCTTGTCATTTACAGTCGATTTTGTTCTCTTATTTCGGGTTTATTTCGACGCCTACCGTCATGTACGCCGACTACAAAATGTTTCAGGAGATCATGGAGGGCATCGGTTTTTTAACAGTACTTTCGGGTTCTATGTTCATTGGTAGCTATTTTGCTGGATCTGTACCGATGATGTTCAGCATGTCCGAGGTATGTGATAGAACTTTTTTTGGTGTTTTGTTGTTCGAAGGGGCATGTTGTTCCAATTATTCGTATTGCTGTCAACAAAAAGGGAACATGTCAGAATCTTTCACATATGCTGAAGCTTTTAGGTAATTAACACAACTAAATAAGTCAGGCTGGATAAGGAGGGGGGAGGTGGGAGAAGTAGGCTGCTAGACACTCATATCCTTAGAGAAGACATTCAGGTAAGGGCACTTAAACACCGCTGGTAGATCACATTAGGACCAAGCCTAGGAGACGGGAGAAAAGCTAGGGGAACAGACGCTCTGTCAGTCCCTTCTCCTCCTAAGGCTCAGTACCAAGTTCAGTAAGAGGTTCACTCTTTTGTCTCCCTAAGGCTGATGTCAGAGTTCGCGATCCATCGCAGGTTTCGCTTATTTTCGCGATTTGAGCTATTCTCGCTATTTTCATGATTCGCGCGATTTTCGCGAAACCTGCGACGGTTCGCAGGAGTGGGGTGCCCGATGAATACTGCGAGGGTGCCGTTGATCTTGCTGCGAATTCTGCTTGACAGTGAACATTAAAAGACGAGTGTTCGTGATTCTGCCCTGTAACGTGAAAAAGTGGTTGAGGGGGTTGGTCGGGGCACTTTCAATTCCTGTGATTCGTCGCGGGCTTCGCGCGGATCGCAAAAATTGCAAGTGCTCCATATGAACATTTGGAGCATTGCGTATGGAACAAGTCATTCAGCCATCACTATCAAAAGAAATGACGGCGGGATTTGAGAAAAACTTGCAGTATTGATTGGGCATTTGTGATTCGTGAATCGCGAAATTCGCGAAAAACCGCGAAGATCAGCGAAACCTGCGACGTATCGCGGACTCTGACACCAGCCTAACGACATGAGCGCTGGCTGCTACAATTATTGGTGTTATTGTGGTCAAAACATGACAAGCCTGTATTATATTAGGTTGTCCCATAATTAGTGAATCACTTTGGGTATTTTTGAATTCAAATTTTTTTCTTTTTCATATGGAGTCTTTGCTCATCCAAACATACATCTCTGTCATCTACAATGTATTGCCTATACAAGGAAATTTTGTCGCTGTCTTATCTCTAGAATTCCAGGAGCTATTGATCGAAGAAAGATCGGAAGTCGAGTTTGAGGTCATGTCACTTAGCGTAAAATTCCTTCCCTGGGGAAGAGCGCTAGAGGTCAGACTGAGTTGCTCTTGTTGGCACGAGGATAGGGCCACACAGAGGAAGTGGAAGAATCGGCTAGCCTTGAGAGTCTCTAATTTTTTATGAATATTCTCCGCAAGGTGGGTCGAACGACCTCAGGAAAAAAGCAGACTTTGTCTTGCTTTACTTTCAAATTGAATGCGTCGCCATTACGCTGTAGATGTTGATCTTCTTCAGTGACTCTAGTATTACTAGGCGGCGGTTCCCAGCGCATGGTCACTCTCGTGCTCCACCAATATCTCTGAAGGGTCGGACTAGAATGAGGTTTGGCTTTTGCTATCAGAACTCCCGAATCGTTCACGCTGGGCTACTGCTCCTCGGAGATTTGCTAGTACACTTCACGCAGTCCAGAACCCTGGTGAATAAGCTGGATGATCACTGTAAGGAACTAAGGGAGATCAGAAGGAACATGACGATGTCAGATCGTGTGCGGAGCTGTTTCGAGCTCAAAGCACACGAGATACAAATTAAATATTTTAAAATCGTTACAACTCTACGTAGATGTCTACATTCCATTATTTTAACAAGTCGGGCATGCTCTAGCAAAAGGCGGCTAGTTCGTCCATATTCACGCTTAGTGGCGCTGGGTATAGCACTGAGATTGCCAGTTGAGGGGTTGGAGTGTGGGTCATCTTCAACTAAAAAAGCCAACCTCTCGATAGAGTGAACTATAAGCAGACCGTGGAGTGAGGGAGCGTGCCCTTGCCTATCTGCTGGTCGATTCTCTATATTGTTGGGCGTTTGAAAGATCCTTAATCAGAAGTGATTAAGAAGGGAGCTCAAAAATAGGTTCCAGAAAAATTGAAATATCAGCCACGGAAGGCAGCATGGAAATGGGCTGAGTAATTGCTCAGGTAGGATAATGTGGATGCTACTTCGCAAAACATGTTTCACGCCTTCACCATTTTTCTTGGATTTTTAATAACATAAATGTAAAGTGATTCACTAATTATGGGACAACCTAAATATTTTGAAGCTTTCGAAGGTTCAGGTAGTATCCGATATGACAGTAGTTTAGCCTAATAAAGAGACAAGTCAAAAGACCTGTTCGAAGCGAATAGCGTAGAATGGAGCTCCTTGTTGTGGCAAGATGGGTTGTAGGCTGTGACATGTTTCGTTTCGTTATCTGCAGTTTTTTAGAAGGTTCTGCAGTCTTTGCAAGTGTCGACAGGAACATTTCTGCTAGCTGCTTGAATGTTTTGTCTGACATTACCGCTCTGACAATATTTTTTTCGTTAGAACCAAATTGCTCCCCCCTGTTCCACAACCAGTTACCCATTTTTGCACTTTGTTTTACTCTGTGTGTGGGTTCCTTTTCCGCCGTTTCTATTTCTCAAGAAGATATCAAGTTGTCCCAAAAGTTTGTGCCACTTTTGAATTTTTTTTTGAGTTAACATTATCTCTTTAAAAAGCAATATCCATCATCAATAGGTATGTGGAACATCACTACCAGTCCCTGTTGCTAAAAAAATCACCGAGGAGTCGATGCCGCATTACCAAGAGGTCCGCAGTTCAGTGGCTGATTCGGGATTTGCTTATCATAGAGGATCCAAAGCGGTTGCTGAATTGGACAGTTATTCAGCCCGTTCTGGTTGATACAGTCGCTAGTGCTTCTGCAGGTGATTAGCATAAAACAACTACTTCTCACCAGCCGTATTTGTTTTATGCTAATCAGACTTTGTTCAGCCACCGCGCAGGGATGGAACAGGATAAAAATGTTGACTGAACTCGTGTCGCACTCATGTGATTATTGGTCAATTCATGAAGATTTCTTTGTCCAAGCCTCTACAATTTTCCAAAGGAGGGCAGACCTCTATCAACCGTGTGCTGAAATGTCTGAGTGTGGCGGTCACATAGCAAATAACTCGTGCGGGTTGCCTTTGATGCGCAGCAGGTCCAATTCGGACACCGATTGCCTTCTCGGGTCATGATTTCTCCAAGCTTTAGTTCCAGTGCAGGCTCGCCGTTCTGAAACCGTATGGTGAAGGATGGCAAGGCGGTGTGTCGCAAAGCATTACTCCTGGCTTCGACCGATTTGTGGCTTAGTAGAAGTTCATAAATCAAAGCGTGAAAACATGGCTCTCTTCTTTTTCAATTTCGTATTAGAAGAAAGCAGCTAAGGCGGGCATGATTCACGTATAGGTTACTCCACGAAGTGGGCTCTTCGTAGCCTACTTGGTCATATTCAGAAATCGCTAAATGAAGTTTTGGCATGAGGTGCAAAAAAGTGGCAGGAACTTATGGGACAACCTAATATATTGTAAGCAGTCATACTTTGCGAATGGCGTGCACTTCCTCTGCACTAGACTTCGGTTTAGGTGCAGGTCGATCATGCCATCTCACGAGCGCAAGATCGTATTATCCATGAAAAATTGTCGCGATCGCTCCATCGTTTGTCCGTCGCCGAGACGGCGGTCTAAGCATCTTCCGCTGAACTCGCTCTAATCGTTTCGAAGAAAGGCATCCGAAAAATTGAATGACGACGTTGGAAGGGCAATTTAGAGTTATTAGAGTTGAGGAAAGAGCAGCGTTTTGAGTTGACTCCTTTTGCGCAAGAATAGTTTTCATGAATTTTCCAACTTGTTTGATTGTTAACTGCTGTTGTTTTGGCCCAGTGTCGCTTTTGCGAATGTTTCACAAGCACTCCTGAGTTGTGTTTTAAGAATGTTTTCCATGTGATCGAAATCAGCGCTTTGTAAAGGCGACAAATTGCAACAGATTTTCGAGTCGTTTACGATAGTCTAGACAGTGTCATCGAAATGCGGAGCGTCTGTGGCAGTAGTTCGTGCCTCGCGAATACTGAATGGAAAGATACCTCTCCATTTGAAGTAGAAAGCAAGCTGCGAAGAAGGTTCCTCTAATCTCACGACGTGACTAGTGCATTGCGTAGGCCAAAAGAAGCGAGAGAGTGGAATTTAGTTAGGGGATCAATTTGTCACTCAAAGCATGCGCTAGAATTATACTGCAGTAAACTTTGCGCCATTTATTTATGTGGCAAGAAGGCGAGCCGAACAAGAAATTTGAAACAAGTTCTGACACTGCTTCATTTTATGAATACACGGAACGTTGAACTTCCAAATTAGTAAAAGAAAATATATCTTCCATTGTTTCTGCCTCCTCGGAAGCGGTGAACCACATCATCGATTGCTATATCTTGTTAGAAATTTAAAAGAAGCATAAGCTGTGGCGAGCTCTCTACTGGCTGTTAGATTTTGTTGATTTATTAGTAAATTTCCCTTTAGTGGGTCATTTTTCCATTGCTTTCGTAGACTGTTCAGGAGGCAAACAGATATGAATTCAAGTAATGTCATGGGTTAGCTTCATTGTGTGTATTTAAGTTTGCTCTAGTATATTTCATTTTTAAAAACTTTAGTCAAGAATGCGCATGGTAAGCATATTCGGAGCTGGACTACTTCTAGGGACTGCCTTATCTGTGATCATTCCTGAAGGAGTGGAAGCTCTCTATACCGCACAATCAGGTGATCTTCTTATCACTTTCATATTTGCACTGCTAGCGATTGTTTTGCTACGTTTTTAACAAACTATTGCTATCGTTCATACATATTGAGCTATTCTGCAGAGAAATCACATCCTGAATTTCACGGAATAAACAACCCCGCAAAGGCTAAAGAAATTCTCGAAGATACGAAACCTGAGAAAGTTGAGCTACCTCGCATTGTCCCTCAAAATCTCAAGGATAAAATCGATGGAGATGGCTTGGGGTATGGCTCTCTTTCATCTTTTATTCTTTTTTAAAGAGTTCTCAACCATACCGTATCCTATGTTATCTCTCATTTCAGAAATCCCAAAACGAGGAGGAAACGTGATTCTCCAAACACGAATGGCACTGAAATAATTGCGATAAGGCAGAAGCGCGACCAAGGTTGGTTTACTTATCATGTTGACAGCTGCAAACACCTAAGCAGTTCATTTTGTTTTTTCGTGTCGATAATGCTTATGTGATAATTAATCGCTGACAGTATATGCGATAACGAGAGGAAAACATCTTTTTCTTGAAAGCTTGAAATGTAATCAGAACATTGCTTGTCAATGAATTCTTTATGTAGAATTCAGGCAGGACTTCTGAACCTAGTTGTCAGCATAATAAGAAGGTGATTGCCGATTTACTTGGTTCATCGCAACTCACATCCTACTTCTCTGTATGAATTTTTCTATTGCTTTTTCTGACTCTTTTTCTATCTCTTTTTTGTGTTACCGGAAGATGTCGAGGCTGAGGCTCGACTGGTGATTTTCATCCTCCTTTGAGCTATGGCGGTGAGGACACGCTCTCCGCTTCGTTGCTATGTTAGATGCGTGACCCTATCTAATGTCTATCATAATCTTTTAGACTCATATGTGCATGCTTCTAATCTATTTTGGGAAGGTTTTCTGAAGTATCTTAATTGGGTAATTTTGCATAGCGTTGATCAATCCCTTTTTGGTATGCATCACGTATTTTACTCCTCTCAGAATAATAAAGGCATGTGGATTGGATTTGTCCTATACAATGATTTGCTTAGGCCAGCCGGTGTACAGGTCGTTGTACTTTTTTTAATTTTGAGAAGGCATATGTCACATTGTCACACTCAATTTTGCCATGGCTCAAGGGTTGCTTAATTGTCACATGTCACAATTAAGTGACCCTTGAGCCACGGCAAAATTGGAGTTCGGTGGAAATTTCCTGAGCCCGTCGGCTGGCATACGGTGATGAGCCTCGTGGTCGATCACTGATGGTCGATCCTTTCTTAGTTGGTCTCTATTTTGAACTTCTTCATTGGGCGCACTTTTTCTATGGTGGTGTGCATCATAAGTCCCTGGCCATATATTACTTTCTTGTTCCTCCTCGGTTGAATCTGGTAGTTTTTGCCTGCGGCAAAGAGATGAAGTGTGCAATATTTGTTCGTTGTGTATTCGATTCACTCTCATTCACGATTCATTTACAATAACAATGTAGTTTCATTCAATTCTATTTTTAAATAGTTTCACTCTGATTCGGTTCTCTTGGTGCTCTTTCGGTTTGATGAAATCAGAACACTTTTTTTTCAAATATTTCTCTGCATCCCTGCTGCAAATTTCAGCCTTTTGTTTTTTTTTCTCGTGCTCTTTCGATCGTTGCGTAGTGAAATATTTGTTTCAGTTTATGCTAAGGCTTTTTGGAGATCTTCCTGAACAATTCCTCGAAATAAGTGTTGTTGTGGCTTCTCTGAAAGTTGTTCTATTTAGTCGTGGCTAGCCACGAGGTGAACTTGGGAGAGGCGCCTGCTGATTCGCATTCCCACAATGAAGCCTATCACAGCCACAAGGCTCATCAGCAGATTGGCTATCCTCTTGTTTTTGGATTCATTTTCATGTTGCTTGTTGATCAGATAAGCAATGCAGCTTGGTCAAGAAGTGGGTTTTAAATTTTAACAAAAGTTGTGCTCTATTTTTCAAACGCGCTTTGAGTTGTAAGTTAGGTTCGCTTTGCAGACGATCGTACTGGACGCAATAGAATGGGAGTTTCTGCGACCATAGGACTTGTTGTGCACGCTGCTGGTGAGTGATTTCTTCCTTTTTTCTCGTAAGTGCGTCATTTAGTTCTGTCACCTTTCTAAATCATATTATCCTACATAATATAAAGCGCTTCGTCCGTCGGTTTGTATATGTATATGTAACTCCATCATTACCTTGAGATCCACCTAGAGAAATCGGGTCAAATTAGGATGGCGTAGGTCATGTATAAGAAGTACAAAACACTCATCAGCAGAGAGGAGCCCTGCTTACAGAGTTACCGACGACGAAAATTTCAAAGTTGATTCCAAACAGTCTAGAGATCGGGAATGAATATATGAGGATTCACGTGCGGTGGGTTCTTGGGCGTTCTTTGTAAAGGCAGAGCTCCTTGAATTAATCCATATTCGGTTGAGAAGCCTACAGAGCGCAAAAAAGTGCTTGAGGAAAGCATTGTTCAAGGTGTTACCAGCGGCTATTAGGTGAGCATAGCCTGCCCACAATGGGCGGAGCGTGCTGCCTGAGTGGGTGGAGTTTGGCACTAAATTTACAACTCGGTTCTAACAATCCCGCAAAGCGGGAGGTCGGTTTTCGATAGAGGTCGGTTAAGGACATCTGCTAGTGATGCTTGGACATGCAAAGCGGACGAAGCTTCCGCAAGGAACTTTATAATCTGGCTCAAGAGCAGTTCCGAAGAAACTCTCGGGGAAAAGTGTCTAGAAGTTGGCTAGGAGAAAAGGTCACTTGCTATCAGCGAGCGGGGCCTCGTCGAAATGAGCGGAGTTATCGAGAAACTTAATGTTGCACAAAGTAATGTATAGTTTTGATCGGATCCAGAGACCAGGAAAAGCGGATAGAGGCGAAGTTCAGAAGCGTTCGGTGGGTGGGGTGCGCACCGAATTGGGCGGAGGCGAAAGTCTGAAGTCACGATACGGTCCAGAGATAGCTCGGAGACTGAGAAGAAGCGGATAGAACCTAGTGGGAAGGGCAACTCAAATGTTCGTGGTCTATTTGGCTGAATTTGGGAATTCTCTCCGCATCGCTCTATATCGCTGCACAA